CGGTACTGAAGTTCATGTGAGCGCCGGCGCCCAACCAGCCCGGTATGGGTCGCGGATCAAACGATATGCCGATCTGTAGCTCTTCGGCCACTCTTAACAGTATATACCGCGACATCATTACGTCGTCGCCAATACGGATTCCCTCACACGGACCCACCTGTCCATCGGGTTATACATTAATTAATACAACATTTGTTTACTCTAATAAAAATAACTCAAAAAACGAACCTGGTACTCCCACTGAGCCAGCATAGCCTCCGCATTCTCGCCGCATATATTAACCCCAGCGTACAGACAGGCCCTGAAGTGAGCCTCCATCACATCTCTACCCACATTATTGCCGGTGCCCACAGCCGAGTGGTAGATCACGTGCGGCAGATGAATATCCTCGGGGTAACCGTTTTTGGGCCAACCCAACGGCCACTTCCTATCGTACCCATCCATCATCATATACTCCTGTTCGAGACCAAACCACGGGTGCTCCAGCTTTGCCGCCTCCATGGCCTCCACACAACTGGCCCTATGATTGCTGGGCAGGGGCTTCATATCGGCCGACAGTGTGTCGCACAGCACCAGCTTATTGTCGCCCCTACGGAACGGGTCGTCGTATAGCTGTACGGGTCGTAAAAGTATCTCGGTACACGAGTCGGTGGGTACGCCACTGTCCCAAATGGGTAGATCTGAGGCCTGTTTTGGCACCTCTGATACCACGCGTGTTTTGCCGCAAAAATGACCAAGACCGTCGTTGCCCGGGTGTAGGTATACGTAAGTGACCTGGATCTTGTCTTTGGGCTGATTCAGTGACATGTACTTAGCCAAAAATGCCGCGTTTGAAGTGAGTGGGGTAGATTTATCTGCCATGGTGTTTGTAGTTGAAGTTAATTTTTATAACACTATTCAAAATGAAATATAAATATATTGAGTGAATAATATAAAATAATATTATGAGAAAATGTGTGTTTTATTTGTGTGGATATAATATAATGAAATCCAATACAAAATATAATTAGTTTTTTTCAATTTTTATTAATAACTTCCCGTTTTGAATGAACGATCACTTTATATACTGTATACGACACGAAACCACATTCAATATGCACTGTATGTACAGTACATCTCATTTATTATCAGATATATAAAATTGGCGATAATGAGGATGTGTGCATTTTAAACTTGATAAAATGTTTGCATTAAATAGGCTAGTATGATAGTGGGTACTGGGGATTACTGAAGGGCAAGGTAGCTTAATTCCGGGGCAATTGCATGGACTAAGCAGGGTATAATGTATCGGTCTTATGCAATGTATTAGCTAAATATATGAGTGTCCTTGAAAATGGCCAGGGTGCCTTTCAAAATAATGCTATGTAATAGTGACGGTGATTTAGTATGTGTCTAATGATGTACTAGCTTGACAATGTTGTTTTACAACAACATTTGTCATACTATTCAATGTCCTTAACGTCAATAAGTTTTCATTGATTTGAAAATCAGTTTTAATTTTGAACAAAAAGTTTTTTGATAACAAATTTTTGTTGCAAATAAACTATCAATCAGTCAATCAAACACTCGTATCGATCGCCAGGACTTGTGTTACAATTTTTTTGGGACAATTTGTTGGGACAATAATTTTGGGTACAATTTTCTGAATTAATTTTGAGAGAGAGAGAGAGAGAGAGAGAAATTTATTTGATTAACATATAATGTGCAATTGATCCAACGCGGTAAAAACTTGTTGCTCGCTAAATCGTTGCGCATTCTAATTTTATTCACAAAAAAACAAATAACCCAAATTGCGGTAAATTGATCATAATTGGCATTGAATTACAATAAACATGAATTCCGCAATAATTTATTGCCAATAAAATTTATTAAGTAAAATTTCCATAAGTTTTAAAAACAATTGATAATTATTTGCTCTCTCTCTCTCAAAATCTTTCATACATAACAAAAATTAGACTAGATTAATTAAAATATAATTAAATAAATTTGTTTTTAACTTACTTAAGTAAGAAGAAATAAACAATTTTGTTTATAAAATTAACTAGCTTTTGATAAAATAGTTTATAGTGTAAAATACTTGATAAGCCCTCGTTATTAATGATTGATAGAGTTAAATATATTCTTAAATATTGCAATATTGTGAATAAGTAAAATAATTCAAAAATTAATTATTAATCGTAATTGTATTAATTCTTAATACTAAATCTACTAAAAAAAATTACCACAATTCATTTCTATAAAGTAATTATCAAATTTATAATTATTTAAGCGCAATAAAATTAAATTACACCAATTTATTAAATATAAAAAATAATTAACTTGTATTAATAATAAAATTATCAAAATAAAACTTCACAGTTACACAGGTTATTTAACATTTCCTACCAGCTAAAACTCTCACCAATATAAGTCATAATTTACACGTAATTAGTGTACGACCCCTTCATTGTAATGTTTACAGTTTTTATTTGACTAGTTTTATGCAAACAAATACACAAAATATAAAAATAATTTCTAAATTATTATTCACAGAAAACTTTAATAAAAGTTTTAAAAAAACTTCAAACAATTCACACATAAAATACATGTCAAACACAGTAAGAGACAGTTTCGGCCGATTTGGCGATGATTTATGTGAACTACTATTGAGTTACCACTCGCTGGAGGACAGCCTAACCCACGGCCAGGTCTGCCAACAGTGGGCGCGAGTCATACACCGCCGGCGCCACACACTATACATAGGCGTGAGGGGAAAGTTCCCGGAAAATGCCCGACAACTCGAGTACCTGTTGGGCAAATGCCCGGACATACACAGCATACACATCACCAGCGCATCAAACCTAACGCTAGACTCAACGCTACGGCTATTAACTAATTATTGCCATAATTTACGGGAAATATACTGGGATTGTGGCGATGGCAGCGCCGGCCCCCACCCGGACACTATGGCCGGGTTTGCCCGGGCTATTGGACCCCAATTAACATCACTGACACTATCGAGAATCGGCGCCGATCTCTACCGTCACTGTTTTAAGCAGTGCTTAGTTATGGCCAAAAATGTACGGCAACTACTGGTGTGGACGCCTGGCCCGGACACTGACGTACTGGACGTGTTGGCACCCGAGACGGGCACAGATGGCTTGTGTTTGTATCGCCAGTTGCGGGTCATTCGCTGCCCGCCGGACGGTTTGGACCGTTTTTGCCGAGTGGTAGAGATCTGTAGCCAGACTTTACGCACAATTTACGCCACCATTGATGGCACCGTTGACCAGACGTATGTCAAGCGCCTGATGGCCACTCTAGCACTGGTACCCCAATTAACAGATCTGGATATGTATTGCATGGGTTGTGATCCGGAGCTAAACCCCTTAATTGTGGACCTATTGAGACAATTGAGTGGTAAATGTCTTAAGAGGCTATCGCTTACCATTGATCTGAGCCGTGACGAGTCGGTGGTGAGACAATTGTGGGACACTTTAGGCCAAAGTTTCGGTAAATCTCTGAAGCGTTTGGAAATACGGGCTAAAGTGCCGACCGATTATGTGCTGACCAGTGATGTGCTGCAAAACTGTCAGCGATTAACGCATTTGACTGTATTTTTGGTCGACTATCACACTATATATCGGTTTTATCGCAAAATACGCCGATATTTACCTCGATTACAAGTGTTGTGCGTCCGGAGGACAGTTGTCGACGACCTGACCCTCAAGTCTGTGGCAAAACTACCGGCGCTGCGAGTCTTATGGCTGTCCGGACCCGAGATGTATAGCCACGAGTCTGTCCGACAGCTGCGCGAAAAGTGTCACAAAATTGTTTCAATTGTTTTTAACGATAGACTTATTGTTTAGACTATTGTTAAATAGTTTTTTGTTATGCATTTAATGTATTTTTTATGGATTTATTTTATTAATTAATATATTTATTATATTTATTACTACAATAAATTAAAAATGTGAATTTAAAAAAGTTTTTTAATTGGTATTTTTAATTGGCATGTTTATTTAATCTATCAAGTTGTTTATTTTATCTCAATATTATTACAGAATTTTAATTTAGTGTAAAAATTAAATTTGTGCACCAAATACTGAGAACTACTGTAGATATTTTATTTTTAACTTATTAAACACTATAAATCATGTATCATGTGTAGTTTAATTATAATTGATATTTTGAGAGAGAGAGAGAGAGAGAGAGAGAGAGAGAGATTCATACCTTAATGTAAAACTATAAAAATGATAAAGTGAGTTTGAAATAAGTAAAAGTAAGATTGCAATAAACAAATTTTTTTTACAAATAAAACTTATGACAAATTATAGAAACAATACAAAAATGCATAGAAAATGTAAAAAATAACAGATGAAAAACACCATTTTGTAGATTAAATTATACGTATAATTTTGTTTTTAATATATAATTAAATGTGTGTTTAATTGTTTAATGTACAAAAATCACGCAATATATAAGCCAATTGTTTGGCCGCATTATACTAGAGAAAGCCACACAAAACAGTACTATTAATTGTCGTCTGTAACTGTGGTTTACTGTTATAATCAGCCAATTATGTGACACCCTATACATACACCAAACCTATCATGTTGTTGGTTATGGTGTTAATAATTCATTTTAATGTGTTTTTTCGCAATACTTTCCTTTTAAATATATTTTTTTGAAATATTTAATGAAAATAAAAGTTTTTCATAAAATTAAATAAAATATTAATTTATAAAAACATTAGATTAATAATTAGTATACATAATTATTCATAATATTGAAAGCTTGAGCAATTATAATTTAATTATCCATATACAATAAATGCTGGTTAGTAGTAAAAGTGCTTATTTTTTATAATGTTCAGATATTCAAATATTGTAATTAATTTATAAATTAATCACACAATTAAGACTTATTACAGACTTATTGCAAATACAGACTTATTACATTATAGAAATTGTATAATTTAATTAACAATGCACCATGTAGATGCACAAGTACAGTACTTAAGCATGGCACATAGTTAATTGTGGTGATATATTTAATGTTCAATAATAAGACACATTAATAATACAGAAATATTAAATACGTCAATTAACAATAGACAATTAATTTAAACATGAGAAATTTATTTTGTAGCAATAATAATTATAATATTAATTTCAATAAACGGTGTAATTAAGGGTTTATCTCAATGATAAATACAATGATTGTTAATAATAATTATACTTATTATGTGTGACAACTACTGTTAAACCAACTCTTTGTAAATATTTAAACATTCTTTGTAAAATCTTCCAATTGTATTACAAATAGCATTAAGTTTAAACGCAAAACGTCTGAGGTCTGGCGTAATTGACTAAAAGCACTGCCTTAAAAAAGTAGTGTTTAAAGTTTGTCGCTTCACATCACTGTGAGTTCGCGTCCCTTAGGGGAAGCTTTATTGGGCGCGAATTCAAACATGTGAACATGTTCATACATGTAGACCGATGGCGTAGGGTAGTCGGCATGCCCTCGTAAATACGGATGCTAGACGGNAAACAATGGTTTTCAGTGTCTGCGGCAACTGCTCGACCATCACTCCCATCGGCATCACTCCCAACCCCAACCCCACCAGGAATTGCCACTTCACAGACAGAGCAAAGCCTCTCTACTGTACGCCACGGCTCACTACATACGCAAACTTGAAGGCGATGTACGGCTGATGGTTGACCAGAATCGGGCCCTTCAGGGTTTGCTTGACTCCCGGCCTATACACTCGACTCTCGGTAAAACTCTCGGTAACGGCAATAGTATCGGTGATAATAACAGCATAATATACGATAATGTTGATAATGATAGTCAGCGCATACATCTATGTAAAAGTATGT